GTCCCAAAAATAAATAAACGTTGGAAAAAAAAAAATTTTAAAGGGGAAGCAGATGTCTATGTTTATACACATCTATATTTATCTATTTCTGTATAATATATTAGATTGTGTATATCCGCATATAAATACAGATACATGTATTTACATAGAATATACATTTTACATATGTATCAAGTACATATACATCATACATGCTGTATATAATATGTAAAAACGTGTATATTTGTAGTTACAATATAAATAATTCAGGTGTGACAATATGATCATCGACATCCCATCCGAGGCAACTATTATGCACCTGCTGTGTGCCAAGCACTGTTTCCTTGGCTCTTCCAAGAAGGCAGGAAAGGTGGATACCGTTATTGTCCTGTTTTACAGATGGGGACAATGAGGCCTAATGGAGAGATTAGGGCAGCCTGTCCCCGGTCAGCTTCCTGGCCAACGTGCTCCCAAACTGCCTTGCGCCAACGTGACCTTTGCTTGGGGCTTTGCCTGGGGAGGCTGTGAGGAGCGGAGAGGATGTGGCTGTGGAAAAGCCAGGCTGGGAATGGGGGGGGGAGGGCGGGGAGCAAAGCTTGACTGCTTTTACCATCAAGCTGATTTTGGGGGGGGTTCATCTCAGGCTTTTTGCAACGGGTCTGTTCTGCCCAGCTCCTGAATCGGTCTGCACTTGGCCAACTCATACGTCCCCGAGGCCTCGTTTTCCTCCCGTGTAAGGTGGGCCTGACCGGTGGCTCTCATTGTGGCTCAGAACCCCTCGGGAGCTTTCTCAAAGCACATAGATCCGTGTGTCATTGCTCTCAGAGTCTGATACCCACTCCTGGTTAGGAAACCCAGGCTGGTTGTTCTCTGAGGCCCCTTCTTATTCTGACTGTGCTCATCCAGAATTACTGAAAGTAAGAGACCCAAAGCCTAATAGAGGAAGCCGGGAAGAGCAAATATAACCACGCATCCACAAATCCCTACCGGAACCCCTGGGCTCAGGTATATTTTGGAATTCGGGACTTTTTCAGATTTTAGGAAAGGCAGTCAGTGCATTACTACGTAATTCTTCCAGCGGGGACGGGGACATGTTAATATTTCTGCCGTGAAACAGAAGGGCTCCCACTACGTGGGGTAGGTAAGGGTGATGATAGCCTCCAGTCGCTCCAGGGCAGGCGCAGCAGCTAACTGAGCTCACTGCGAACTATGGGAAGGTACCGGGTGCCCAGTACTTTTGAAGTTTGGGAATGGTGGGTCTGGGGCTGTGGACCTGCCTGCACGCTTACTGAAATCAGCTGCGGAACCGGGCACGGCCTGGGCGTTTGCAGCGACAAGGATGGAGGTTGGTGCCGGGAAGCCACGAATACTTCACTCAGCAGGCTTTGTTCATGTGTCCCCAGGAATGGTGAGGACCGGATGTGTCCAAAATGCAGAGGGGACGACCCCCAGTCTGTAAGCCCAGGAAGCCTTCTGTCTCAGGAGAAGGTACGTGGCACGGCCTGGAAAGAGTGTTTGTCCTTTTTTTTCCCTTTTGTCGAGGTTGAAGCCATTGGGCAGCGGCCCACAAAGTCTCTGGAAGATACCTGCCCCCTTGTCTGGAGTCTGGACTGCATCAGTTTGTAAGCAGTGGGCGGACTGACATTCACAGTGGCAAAGGGACTTACCCAAAGATACCTCGCCGATCTGTGACAGATTCAGGGCGAGGACACCAGTCTAGACCAGAGGTCTGCAAGCTACGGCCCATGGGCCACATCTAGCTTGCCACCTGTTTTTGTTTCTTTGTTTGTTTTTTGTGTGTCCCACAAGCTAAGAATGGCTTTTATGTTTCAAATGGTTTTAAGAAGCCAAAGGAATGGCATCTTGGGACACGTGAAAATTTTATGAAATTCAAATTTCTGTGTCCATAAATAAAGTTTTATTGGTTTGCAGCCACTACCTGCTCATTTATTTACGTATTGTGCGTGGCTGCTTTTGCCCTACAACAGTAGAGGTGAGTAGTTGCCACGGAGGCTTCAAAGTGCTAAATATTTGCCATCTGGCCCTTTATGGACAGGTGCATCACCTCTTGATCGAGACACTTCTTTCTGCCCCTGTATCCAGGGACAGGGAGAGGCATTCTCAGCTTCTGTCTCAAGTTCCGCTGTGCTTCTACGAACAAGAAATAGCACTGGACGTGTGAGGGGCCAAAGACACATTCTCAGGCACCGCAGTTTAGAACTCTGTCCCTACCAAGCTGGAAGAACCCTCACCCGGCATGTCTCCAGGGCAGATTCCCACATGCCGGCCGGATCTGGTCCAGTCCCCCCCGGTATATGACAAAGTGATAAGAATAAGGAAATCGTAGTGAGTTTGTGGGGTTGTTTTTTTTTTTTTTTAATTTTTTTTTTCAACGTTTATTTATTTTTGGGACAGAGAGAGACAGAGCGTGAACGGGGCAGAGAGAGAGGGAGACACAGATACGGAAACAGGCTCCAGGCTCCGAGCCATCAGCCCAGAGCCTGACGCGGGGCTCAAACTCACGGACCGCGAGATCGTGACCTGGCTGAAGTCGGACGCTTAACCGACTGCGCCACCCAGGCGCCCTGTTTTTTTTTTTTATATATAAAACTAGAATCTTTCCCACTTATAGAATCAACCTTTACCCTGGGATTATGCCCTCCCTGTACGTGTCTTTGTACAAATGAAATGAGAGTGATAATAGATGGTGGGATTTTTGATAAAGTGTTTACTTGGTAAAATTAAAAAAAAAAGTGGCAATGTTTATGTTAATCTTCTGGCTTAAAAAAACAAAACAAAACTTGTATTGGTCCCAAGCTGTAAGAACCATAGCTCTAAATCCACACCCCTGGTCTTACACGTAGGGCCCCAACACCCATTGGGGAGTCTCGGCGTGAAACGCCCTAGTGACCGGGGTCTCACCGTTCGGCCACCCTCTCTGTCTGCGAGATACCTGGCTTCTTTCAGCCCAAGTTCCCTCCTTGTCCTGAAACCACAGCCCAGCGGTCAGGAGCCTGGTGTCCAGGGATGTTGTAGACTCCGTGCGCGGCCAAGATAATGCCCGTGCCTGCTTCTCCATCTGTAAAACGAAGAAGCGAATTTGGCTTCTGCCACGCCTTTCCAGGACCTGTGATGTCCAGAGTACCTGTGTGGGCGTCTCTCCTTCCCTCCTGTGGAAGCCAGAGGCCGACAAGTCTCCACACCTTCCTCTCCCTTCTCCATCCTGGCCCCCTTCCTGCAGAGAGTTGGAGGAATTTCCTGCCCCCGACCAGAGCTGGTTTTGAGGGCCCCCCCCCGCATCCTTTCCTCAGCAGCCCCTCCCCTGCAGGCCCTCAAGGAAATCAGAGCGAGGACCCGATGCATTTTTCTAGAACTGTGCAGCTTGCAACACGGTATAAGAGCTAATTGGATGCACTGAGGCAGGCCTCCCCGTTGGGACGTGTTAGTGAGCTAACCCTGAGACCCCAGCAGACCCCTGGCTCTGCGGGGGACCCCCCACTCCACCCGCAAAGAGGAGGCCGTATGCCACATGCCTTCTGAGGCCCCTGCCTGCTTGAGTGCTCCAGGAAGATCGTTTCCAATTTGGTTTATGTTTGCCTCTTAACAAAATTAATACACACGCCTTGTAAAATCTCAGGTAATATAAGTAAGAGAGAGTTTAGATCTCTCCAGGGGCTTTAATTTCTCATCTTTGTGAATCGGACTGAGGGGGAGCCTGACACCCCGTAACCTTTAGTTGTGCCCTTTCCTTCTGTCCCAGCTCCCGAGGAACTTTAGGGGCTCCTGGCGTCCTGCAGGGCACAGTTTGAAGCTTGCCGCCTTAAATCCAGTGAAATGACTCTAATGGTGGAATGATAGGAACCATGACAGGCTTCCAGGTGGGAGCGGGTGCTGCCTGCGTGGGAGGCCTTTGCCTCTTGGGCGCAGGCAACGGCAGACCCCATCCCCACCCCCGCTTCCCTGCCTGAGGAGGTCGGCACTGCACCCCCAGTGGAAAGCTGGGGGCCAGCATGAGCCAGAAGTCTCACACCTGCACAAAGCCACGACTGGAAAGACCAGAGGTTCCTCTGACCCCTCCTGCCCCTGATGGGAACTTTGGGGGACTTTTGACCAAAGCAGCTGATTAGGAGTCAACACTTTGCATATGTGGTCATCCTGAAGTTTGTGCATCTGGGGAAACCTGGGAGATGGGGTGCAGGGTCCAGCCCAGAGGTGCCTGGCCTTGTGAACACTTTCCATGCCATCTGCTTATCGGCGTGTCCTTGTCTTCTGACTTCATTAGAGTAACATCTGTCCCAGAAATGCTCACGGCCACGGGTTGATCAGCTAACGTAAGACGCAGATATTAAAGGATCACCGTTGGCCTAGTTAGAGGCTGCATTCTTGCCTGGAATGACGTTCCTATAGAAGTGACCGTGAAATAGGGGGCAACGCAGTGGCTGGAAAATCACGTTCAATTCTGCCTGCCTGCGACACTGTGAATACGATGGCGTCTCTCACTCTCTTCCCTTGGAGTCGGCTCAGGAAGGCCAAAAGCAAGCTGGCATCTGATGCTGTGGCTTACAGTAAGCCACGGGCTCGTTACCTCCTGAAATAATCACTTCTACCTCATGGTTCCTCTTTGGACTGAGCCGAAGTCTGTTTCCCTTACGGCCACGAGAGGCAAGTCAGTCATAGGCTTCTGTCCCCCAAAGCAGGCCTGCATCTGTGAGAAGACACTGACCGTGTCCCTCTGGAGTCTGTCCCCAGTCTCTATGCATTTGAGGGAACTCTTTCTCCCATTTCTCGGTGTCCCTTGATGTGTGATACCTGGAAATGAACCCCTGCACCCTTACACTTCTGAACTTGATAGTTACATCTGTAACCTTGTTGACCCCATGACATCCTGTGTCATGGGTGATGGTAATATTCCTATTTTACCTAGATTTCAGGTAATATATTGAGGCTCAGTGAGAAGGTGTGCCTGAGCCAAAGTCATACGACAAGGGGGGGGGAAGGCAAACCTAGGCCGATGGCGTCTTCTCTTGGGGGATCACCCCAAGTGTTTTATGCAGGTTTGAATAACACAGTCGGCCCTAAGTACTGGAATCCACCAAGTGCTGTGGAAAAACAGGAATAGGCAAGGCTGCTTTCTACTAGGAGACTCAGGGAGGGCTTCCTGGAGGAAGTGGTGAGCTGAGCAGAAGGTCCCAAAGAGGAAACTGGCTCGGGGACAGAGGAGGGCAGGAACTGGCAGGTAGACAAACACTGACCTGGCCCGCCCTGTCGCCATAAAGTGCCTATCTCTCAGCTGACGCCAGAGCAAGACCTGAGCCAGCCTCTGGGTCTGATGCAACAGTGTGGTCAGTGCCTGGCCCGCCGCAGGCCCTGTGTTCTGTGCAGTGGCTTCACGGAGGCCCTTCTTCTGCTCTGGCACTCTCTTAACGCTCTCACATTCTCGGAAGCCCACAGGCCCCCAAGTGGGGGGGCCTCTGGATGACCCCATCACAAAGGGCCTGGGTAAGCAGGGTGGCTGGGAACACCACACGCCCCCAGACTTCTCGGATACAGACAGAAGGACAAGTGTTCCCTCAGGGCTGGGGTTTTGTTTTCTGTTTCTGTTTCCTCTTCAGAGAAAATTCCACTGCGAATTTTATTTTTAGCAGTTTGCAGGCGGTGAGGCCACTCACACAGGGGCTGCTCATGGCACCAGACATATACCAGGCTTGGCCCAGGACGGATGCCCCGTTCTTCCTCTGCAACCCCAGCCTGATTCCCTCTCCTGCCCCTCCGTCCCCAGCCTTCAGGTGAGGCCACCCTTCGGTGAGAGGAGGGACCCTGGTCATGGACTCCAGGCCCCTGGCTTATGCCTCGTCTTTGCCCTGGACTTGCATCACCCCCTGCAAATCACTGGTCGTCCCTGAGCTTCAGATTCCCCACTTGGACGACAAGCAGAACCTCAAAGCCCCAACCTCCTCCTCATGGTGCCGTGAGATCCGATGGGGCGGGCGCTCACACAGGTGCCCGGAAGGCAGCAAACCCTTGCAAGGTCCTGGAACTATGGGACAGGAGACCCAGACCCAGCCTGATGTGACCTCAGACGCGCCATGACTCAGTTTCCCCAAAGCTGCTGGCACCCTGCCTGCCTCCAGAGATCGCTGCAGGGATCCCACGAGATAACACGCAAGAGTGCTTTGGTGCAGTTTCAAGACAAATACGCCGAGGATGTTCCTCGCCTCCCCAAGGAAATCGCACGGCAAAATAGGGCTTTACAGGATTAGTTATTAAGAGTTCGAGAGGTGATAAGTAAGTGAGAAGCACGTATGTGACAGCAACGGGAGAAAGGAAAAAAACGTCCCAAGGGCAAGGCTTAATCCCTAGGAATAAAAATACAAATAATATAATACCACTGCTACTAATGGAGGCTAACATTTATCGAACACTCTGATGGGCAGAATGGTATCCACAGATGTCGACATCCTAACTCCCGGAACCTGGGACTGCGTCATCTTACATGGCTGGATTGGTCTGCTCAGCCTGCCGTGACGAAACACCACAGACCACGTTGGCAGAAACAATAGAAATTTATTTTCTCATGGTTCTGGAGGAAAGAAGCTGAAAACGGGGTGGGTTTCACCTGAGGCCTCTCTCCCTGGCTTTGTCGATGTTGTTTTCTTCCAGCATCTTCAAATTGCCCGCCCTTGGTGCCCAAACTTTCTCTTGTTACGAGGACGGCAGTCCTATTGGATTAGGGGCCATCCTAATGCCCTCATGTTGATCTCTGTAGAGACCCTGTCTCCAAACACAGTCATGTTCTGGAGGTTAGGACTTCAACGGATGAATTGGCGGGGTCAGGGGAGGGCG